AGTTCAGAAAAGGGCAACAAAAAATGATTAGGGGTTTGGAATGGGTCCCATATGAAGAGAGATTTAAAAGACTTGGACTTTTCAGCTTACAGGAGACTACAGGGGGATATGATAGAGGTCTATAAAATTGTGACTGTTGTGGAAAAAGTGAACAAGGAAAAGTTATTAACTTATTCCTACAATATAAGAACTAGGGGTCATCAAACGAAATTAATAATCAAATTAATAGTCAGTAGGTTTAAAACACACAAAATGAAATTTTTCTTCACTCAGCACACAGGCAACCTGTGGAACTCCTGCCAGAGAATGTTGTGAAGATTAGGACTTTAACAGGGTTAAAAAATGAGCTAGATAGATTCATGGAGGTTAGGTCCATCAATGGTTATTAGACAGGAATTAGTAGGAATAGTGTCCCTAGCCTCTGTTTGTCTGGAAATGGATAACAGGGGAAGGATCACGTGAGGATTACCTGTTGTGTTCCCTCCCTCTCAGGATCTGGTATTGGTCACTGTCAGAAGACAGGATACTGGGCTAGATGGACCTTTGGTCTGACCTAGTATGGGTGTTCTTATATTCTTATACACAGCCAAACATTTAGAGGTCACATGTAAACAGAGATTATATTTTAGTACGGCTTTTTTTAAAAAGTGCACAGGAAGATCTGTATCAGCAGCTTATTGTTAGTGACAACTGAGCAAACTGAACAGCATATACTATAAGTAAACCTCAGTATTTAGACCAGCTCCTGTTAAAATGTAAATGATACTTTTTAGACTAATTCAGAAATATTCAGTTAAAATAATTTATAGAAAATACTTTATGTAAGCCATGGCATTCAAATTCTCATTTTTCAATCTCCTAAGAACAGCATCCTAAGTCTATAATCACCAAAATATATATTATATAAAAATACTGCTGGTCATAAAAGTGTGTTTGTAATGATCTATAGTTATATAATATGTGACCAGCTACATTTTACTGTATTGTAAGAGAAAAACTTTGGCTATTTTATTGTTGTAAATCAAAAACAAATATGCATTAAGCCATTAGGTTGCCATCAAACAAATTATTTATATAGAAGGGACAGGAATATAAGAAAATTCCAATTTAAATGCATTTATCTTCTAAGCCAACAAGCAATTCTCCTGTTAAACCTATACAGTTATAAAAGGTGACAGGATATAAGTGTTAGTATTCTCTCACTCTCTTCCAAGTAACACATTGTTATTTTGATGCCAACTGATAAAAACAGTCTGAGATTCAGTACAGATGGTTTTATGCAGTACAGAATAACAATAGTTTCTAACCCAAATATGCTTTTCCTCACAGGAATTAAAACTGCATAAGCTTTTCTCTTGCAGTCAGTAAACATTTTGTAATAAAAATGATTATAAAAAATTGCTTAACAAGGTTATAAATGATTTTAACAATTATCTTTGAAATCTAAAATAGATGTTAATTTAAAATAGCTTTACATTTGTGAATATCACAAAAAAATAATAAAAACATATTGGACTAGATGAAAGCAAATGCTTTTTTCCCCCTGCAGCTGGAGCTGAACTTCATATTTTATACATTTAATTCAGGTTAACAAGCTGATGCTAACATTGCAAGGCAAATTCTGCCCAGGTTTAAACCTCACAATAATGAACAGATATATAAATCAAAGTCTGTCCATTTTTATGTAAGATATCTTTAATTGCCATGCTGATTTTTTCCAGTTTTATTTCTGGAAATATACACACAGCATGCACACACACACACTAATGGCATCCCAACCTTTCATCAAACAATAGCTTTCTTACTAGCTTTCTTTTGCTAGCAGTGCAGCTAAACTGCAAATAACAATTTGTCATCCACATATTCATGCCATTTTGTTAGCAAGGAGCTGGATTAGATTACTCTGTAATTACATGGTTCTGCAGTGAGATTAATTGCTTAATAACAAGATACCCAATATAGCTACTTAATAGAAATTCAATATTCACAGGTAAAATACCAAATACGCACTATAACATAAAACTATAATCGTCACCCTGAAGTAGCACAGAAAAAAATTACAATTTTTAATATCTTTCTTACTGTTAACATAATATTCAACATCCATTTTGAAGAGTCTTTAGTCTTAGACATTTATTTATTTTTCTCTTTTACTGGCAATCAGAAAGGCTATGTAAAGATTTCAAACTGACAAGAATGTCAATACTGATCTTGAAGCCTAGAACACATTTAGTCACAAGCCACAATTCAACAAACTAGGCCCTACTCCCAGATTTATGATTCACATAAATGGCTCCTCACCACCAGTTCCTCTTAGATAAGTCACTTAACCTCTCAGGCTTTCTTTTCCCATCTGTAAAATGAGGATAACATTTAGCTACCTCACTGGACTATAGTGAGAAGCACTCAATATTTGCAACTTGCTACTTCGGAGCTAAAATACACCAAAGCATGCCCTGGCTGGAGACATAATGGCTCCCAAACTCCCAGCATACCTAAAAAATTTCCCTTTGAAACGCTAAAATGTAATGTTAGGTATGAAGCAACAAGGCTTCAATTCTCCTGCAGCTAGAGGCTGGCAAAGGAGGAATCAAAGGTCTCCATTTTAGAATACAGGCAGCTAGTTAATTTGATGATGGCTTAAGGAATCTCTCCCCTAACCTACACAAAAATCATTCAGGTTAGCCGTTTGCATGGAGTTAGTTAGCTACACTGGGAATAGGAGGATCTCACCTTGAAATGCTAATCCTTTTGGACCCAGATGTCAGAAAAAACTCAAACCAAAACTATAAAAAAGCCCCACAAACACCTAGAAAACAAAGGGGAAAATTATTCTATATTAATGTTGCACAGTTAAGTGCTGAAAAGCCAGGAAACACCAAAAGTTAGGCTTGAATGGACATGCTTATCTCTGCCTTATGAGCATGTACATTATGATACACAATTTTTTTAATATATTAATCAAATATTATAAAGTGGCAGGTAGCAAACCAGCTGATGAAGTGGGCCAGTTGACTTCTCCCAAACTGTCAGTAGGCCCTTGCTATCTTTCAAATTCCTCCCTGAGCCTGAACTTGCCCCATTCCCTAATCCTGCTGTGCTCCTTAACATACATGGTGTGGGAAGTAGGCCCACTGTCAGCGGTGGGTAACTTGTGGCCCCTGGGCTGCACGCAACTTGTCTGAATAAGCTGCTGGACAGTTTTCCATAGGTACGACTGCCTGTAGCGCCCATTGTTGCCAGCCAATCAGACCTGCAGGAAGTGGCATAGGCTAAAGGGACTCTTCCATTGGCCAGGAACAGTGAATCACAGCCTGTGGGACCTACAGGCAGTGGTACCTGCAGATACAAGGTAAACAACGTCTGTGGTGGCCCACCAGCAGCTTACATTGATGAGCCATATGTGGGCCACAGCCTGACCACCAGTGAGCTATACCACATCCATTGGAATATTTCTACTTCATCAGGTGCTTTTGTGGCCCTTATTTGGCTTGCATTACTGTGCTGAATTCCCATTTTTATTCACCCTTTTGCTGCAACTTGAGCTTGCATTTCCTTGTTTTTACAAACTAAATTTGAAACATACATTAGCACCTTATGTTGATCCTAGGGGTATACATTCATCTGCAACTTTTTTCTTATCTACAGGGCAGCCTGAAAGGTTTTCCACTCCATAAACTATTTACAATTTAGGATGCATATTTTATGAGTTTAAGTTTACTTTTATGCATTAGTTTTAGATTATCGAACAAGTAACAAATTTTATTATAAATTTTACTATAATATGAGGCTATCAGAAAGTACACCTTCTATCCTACTGAAAAACTTTTCATTTTTTAACAAAGAATGTGGTTCTACAACAGATGATTTTTTTTGCAATCAAAATTAAGATTCAGGCAGTGTCCTTTAGATCATGCTGCCAGAAATATGGCCAAGTTCAGAGGCAATTAGTGTATGCTGGGGAGCTTGAGTATCAAGGTGCCTTAAGTCACTGTAATGGGCGCACAGATAACATGAACATGACGTAAGTTAATGAAAGAAGACTGACATGACCTAACAGCCCCTTGTTAGTAGTTTTTCCTGCTATGTTCCTCTCTTCCAGCCTCTGGGCCAGATTCAGAAGTGAGAGATAAAGGGGTTGAAATGCATCACTAAGTATATGTAAACTGAAGGGAGTCTAATTTGGTGTAGTATAAATGAATCTCCTGGTGGTCCAAGGGCAACATATCCCCCACACCCGAATCCCACAGTTAAAATAATAAAGAAGAGTCAAAGATCTCCTTGTATATGCACCCCATGTCATTTTGTTTGGACCAACGTATTTTACCCACCTGTGGAAAAAGATGTGAGGACCTGCTCCCGAAACCCCTACAAATCCCAATAAATCTATATGAATCCCCAAATTTTGAAGAGGAAATATGTCTCTCTCCATCAGCTTTGGCCCCACTAGAACCATGCTAACAAGAAGCTGTGCCCTACTGATCGCTGATTTGATGATCCTTAGGAAAGTAAATGCCACAGGACTCAGTATTAGAGGGCAGGGCATAACTCTTCCTCACTATGGATCCACACCCATAGAGAAGAGTTTCCAGACCCCAAAGATGAAATTACCTAAGGAGGTTATGGAATCTCTATCACTACAGATATTCAAAAGGAGGTTAGACAGACACCTATCAGGGATGGTCCAGATAACACTTAGTCCTGCCATGAGTGCAGAGAACTGGACTGGATGAACTCTCAAGGTCCCTTCCAGTCCTATATTCTATGATCTGCCACATAGCAAGTTATTATGGAATCATCACTGAATATGTGGTACAAGGAATGCTTTTTTTTTTTTTTTTTTTTTTTCAAATTTTAGTTTGTTGCTGTTGAGTTCTAGGTTAACTTTGTTTTTGTATATCTTTTTAATATGTTAGCACTTGGATATCTATGTTAGATGTTTTAAATGAAATGTTTACATCATAATACTTTAGCATTTAATTGTTCTTGTTTTTTTAAAGCGTGGAGCTGGATTTTAAACAGCAGGAAGACAAACTACAGCCGGTACTGAAAAAACTTCACCCTATTGAGGAAACTCAGGTTGCACCTTTGCCTTATTCTCAGGAGAGCTACTCCTCAACTCCCAAACAAAAATCCAAAACTGATTCAAAAAAACATGGAAGATGGAAACTCTGGTTTCTTTAACATAGTCCATTAGCTATGTATGGAGTTTAAGGCCTTCTTTGAAACATATTTGGAATTCAATTAATCAACTAAAAAGGGTTCTTGGTAAATGGATCAGTGTTATTAGCCACAGTTACTCTGGTTATTATGGATAGCATTCAGTTCTCACCATGTGTACCAAAAAGGCCTTTGTACCTATAAACTGATGTTCATGAGCAAGGCGTTAAATCATACCTTGCCAACTTTTACTTGCAGTTCACCAATGTGGGATGTAAAATCCGAATTGAAAATTGTATAGACAAAGATAACCAGTAAAATTATTCCCCCCCTTAGATCTAGAAGTATCACATTTCAATCTAGAAAATGCCATCACTATTTTCAAGCCTTTTTATGTTCTGTTTTAAACATTAATAAGGAAAAAAGCAAGCCTTATGTTTGCAAAGATCTTCAATTTTACATTTAATTTTGCAAATAAGTGGGGGTCATGAGAAGTGCAATTTTTAGCACATAATATCCTGGAGAAAGCACAATTTTTCAAATGGTACAAGACCATGAATAATCTCTATGATGTGACTATGTGTGTGTATTTGCCTTCATGTGCTGTAAAGTTAAATGACGTTATTACATCTCAGCTTCTTACTGACACCTCTGATTTAGTGTCATCTTTATCAGACTTATGACATATTTACTGCTCTTTTCCAAAGGACGAGCAGCCAGAAACCACCTGAAGTCAGGACACGCCTTTAATCACTAAAAGTTGACAGGGTCAAAGCACTAAGCTTTCTTAGATTTCACTTGTATCTTTTGGTACCCGAAAGCCAAAATGTTATGTTCTGGCACAGAATATGAAAAAAAAATGGATAATAATAAAATGGCAGATTGTTGGCAGTTGTAACAATTTAAAACCTTTTTGTAGTTTAATCTTGAGAAAAACTGTACACCACTGTAGAGGGTGCTAGATATTTCATAATATGCATTATGCTTTTATTACAAGAGTTCAGAGGGGACTGGCAACTTTAATAGTTATTTATTTAGCAGAGCTTCTAAGATCAATTTCCAGACCAACATAATATATCATTTGTATTAAAATAATATATCAACTGTACTAATCAATCACACTTCAGGGGGAAAGCTGTCAATCAAATTTCTTCTGAGAGTTTTAAAAACAGTAACACTTTAAATCCACTGTAATCTTTTCCCTTTGCATATTAAGCACTGTCATTAAAAACTCTAATTTAGGTGACCGTCTGGAAAACTCTTGTAATGATAGGGACTGGGAATCTTGTTTCTTTTTGTTAAATAATTTGAATAGTGTACACTCATTTGACAGAAACTGGGATACAAGATACTGGTTCTGCAATTTCATATCCCAAGGCATCATTAAGATGTGGATTTTTCAGTCTTTAGATGCAGCAAAAAAACTGGAAGAAGTGAATTCCTAACAGAAGAGTTTGCACCTACTAAATAAACCTGGAGATGTTCCTCAACATCAAATTCATTTTTAAATATTAATTCTACAAGGATCCTGAAGAAAGCAATGTGGGTCTTTGTCTTGAAAGTAATTAGAAAGTATATGTGATTACATAGATTATATGTGATACTGTTTATGTCCACTTCAAAACTATTTCAACTGGATGCTTTAATGAAAAACTCACCTTTGTAGTAAATGTTAAGAGGGCTACAAATCCTTGTACATAAGTAAACAGTATTCTAAAATATTTTTGTGAGAGATAAAGGAACAGAAAAGGTGTGCCATGAAGGAAGTGCAATTGTTTCATGTGGAAAAAAATTGTTTCATGTATTTTATACTGTTTTTAATTAAAGTTATAAAACCATTTACAAGATATCCCATCTTGTTTTAAAAATCCCAACTATTTCAAAGCATTAAACAGGACAAAATCTCAAATATGGGTATAGCTAGGAAAAAATATACACAGTGAATATTTTAAAACTGTGCTATACTTCAAAATATAAAGTCATATATACAAAGAAATCATCATACATGTCAAGTATATTTTTTAAAACATTAAGTCAAACATCTCTAAATCAGGATTCTTTACAGATGGTTAATGCTAACTAAAGTCAAATTTCCTAAAAATCCATTCTAAATATTCTTGTGTACAGGGACTGATGCAAAGCTCTATAAATGTTTCATTCTTGGATATTGAGTCATACTTAAAACTAGTATTACACAGGCATTCAGAATAAAAAAGGATTCATTGGTGAAATATATAATAACTAAAAATGAAAGATATCACTGAGTGTTCTCTACGTTTCCAGACTATTTTCTTAAACAAAGTTGCAGATTTTTAATTTTTTACTTTTTTTAAAAAGAAAATGCTAACTGCATAGTATTGCTGAAAAATACATATCGTGTTATACCATACCATACTTTGTAATTTGAAATAAGATGTTTCTGCAAGTGTGTTGAATGCATCATAGTGCATTACATTTAGGATCACAGAGGTTAAATTTAGATTTTGAGAGACATATTTAATTCTTTAAAAAAACTTTTAGCTACATATGGTATGTGACTGACATAGAACTATTTTCACCCTAATGTAATACATGTTATAAAAAGCAGGAGCAACATTATGATGAAGGAAACATCACCACCATTAGTGTAGCATATTATGTAATTTTGAAGCTCAATTCATTGGCAATATCATGCATTCTCAGACACTACATTTACTATATGCATTGCTCCTATGACATGCTTTAATTACTTTCTAATCAATAAATACTGCAGTAATTTTGCATTAACTACTGTTTTAATACTACATGGACAATGTTTTTTAAGTCTTCATAATTCCCATTCCTATGTTCTGAAATTATTATTAGGAAACAATTAGTGTAAGTAACACATGTTTTCTTAAAATTAATATCACTGTAAAAATACTTTATAATCAGGGTAAAATGAAAAAAAAATCATGATTAAAATGGAAGAAATCCACTATAAGTACTAAGTGTTTGGTTTTTCTTGTTTGAGATAAGATGTTACGTAATTAACAAATAATGACTGACTATGCATTCCTTACTTTCACTCAATGTTTTAATGGTACATTAGATTTTAAAATCCTAATTGATTAATTTTTCATAAGCATTTTGAAACAAGCAGTTAAAATGGCATTAGTCTAAACATCTGTGTAATAGCACACAGTAAGTATTTCTATTTTAATTTGTTGGCTATGATTTCCATTAGTAATATGGCGGCAGTATGTTTACAGCTCTGCTGTATGAGGTCAAAACCCAAGACCTGAAATATCTCTTAGCATTATTTCAGTAAATACAACTGTAGCTGCTGGAAATATGCTGCCAATTTATTTAACTGAATGCAGTCTCTCGAGGTAAATATTCGTATATTATATGTATATTTCCATGCTCGTTTGCTCTAGTCATGATAATATTCAATTCATACTTAGTGCACAAAAAGCAAGATAATAAGGACCATAATATTAATTTCTGCAATAGCTTGTAATAAGTATTCAGAAATGTGTGTATTAGAAAAAAGTTGCATTGTGCCACAAGTACTGTAAATGCTATTTATTTATTTATTATTCATTTTTACTTTGCAACAGTCAATGAAGAAAATAATACTGCAAACTTTCTTTCTAAGACTATGGCACTCACTGTTCCACACAATTCAGAGTCTGAGACCAGAAAGGCCCATTAGATTATTTAAGATTATCTCCTCTGTAACACTGGTAATTGAATTTCATTCAGTCAACCCTGTTCTGAGCCCAATAACCTGTGTTTCATTAAAGCACATCTTCCAAAAAGGCCTCAGTCTTGATATGAAAACACCACATCCCTTGTTCAAGTGGTTAACTGCCCTCATGTTAAAAATGTGTGCTTATCTCTAATTCAAATTTCTCTGGATTTAACTTCCACCAATTGGTTCTTGTTATGTCTTTCCCCTATAGATTAAAAAAGCTCTCTAATGTCTGATATTTTTCTCCCCATGAAAACACTTCTACACAATCATCTAATCACCTCTTGTTCTTTTTGGTAAAGAGATCAAGCTCCTCAAAGCACTTACTGAAAGGCATTTTCTTGGGCCCTTATATCATTTTTATGGCATCCTCTACAATAGGAGTGGGCAATAATTTTCACAGAGGAGCCATTCCACATATTTTGGTAACTTGTCAGGGGTTGGCTCTTGGGCAGAAGATGCAGGGTTAGAGGCTAAAGAGAGCTAATGAGAGAGAAACTTTGTGGGAGGGTGACACACACTGTGTGTGGCTGCTGCTGGGTCAGTTTCTGACAGACAGCATGCATTGTCCTTTTACAGGGAAAGCTGTTCTGCTCTGTTGTCTCCTCCCTCTCCCTCTATGCAGAAATGGCATACCTGGGGTAGGGGGGAAAGTCCGTGTGAGAAGAGAGCTGGCTGCTGGAGAAATTTTAGAAAAAGTGCACCTGCCTATTAAGACATCTCTGTAATTCACCATACTTCTGATTGGAGCAGCTCCTGGGTGTCTCCCTCATCCTGAGCTCTGATCTTTAGAGATGGGGTATAGGAGCAGACACCCTGACTTTTCTGCACTCCCCTCTTTTTCCTTTTCCTCCTCCACCCCACCCTACCTTACCCTATACAGCTAGCTAGAGTGTTCTGTGAACAGCTCAGCTGCAGGATGGAGCAAGGTGGTGGGAAGGACAGCTAAACACATGCTGCCTGCATGCTCTGCTAATCAGTTGATAGCATCAGTGGATAAAAATGCTGAGCAGGCCAGATCTGGTCTGCAAGCAGTATTTTGCCCACCCTCTGTTCTACATTTTTTTCTATAAAACTTTAAAAATGCAGATGCCAGAACTGGATGGAATAGTCCATAAGTGCCATAAGCAAAATTAAAATCACCTCCCTATTCTTATTGTCTCTTAATACATTCAACAATCAGATTAGCCCTTTTAACCACATCTTGCTGGGAGCTATGTTCAGTTGTTTGTCTCCTGCAACCAATAAATCTTTTTTTTCAAGAGTCCTAATTTTCAGGTCTCAGAGGGCTAGCCATATTAGTCTGGATGTGCAAAAACAACAAGTAGTCCTATGGCACCTTAGGCTCCTGCCATTATGATTATGTAGCTATGAGCCCGTTGCTAACTGTGACACCTTACATTTTATTTAACAAAATATTTTTTTGAATGGTCCCAGATTATTTAGAGTTCAAATTGATCTGTATGATTTTTTTTACATTGGCAATTTTTGTCAGCAATCAATTTAAATTACTTCCTCAAATTTCACAAGTAAAGATCCAAACTGGCCAAAATTGGTTGACCTTTAACAAATACTGAAAAGAACATCTATTTTCATAGTTCTGTTTGTAGGGAGGACATACTATTTTGGGTGTTTCTGAGTAACGAGGGTGTCTTCATTCTGTATGGTCTGTTTTGATTATTTCCGTGAGGATAGGTACTGTAGTAGGTATATTCATTTTACTGACTGTTATAACTCTTATCAAAAGTGCCTAGAAGAGTGCAGTGGAACTTCTAAAATTTGTTTACCAGACAGACACTCACAGTACTTTCCATTTGTCAATTTTTAAAGCAACCCATTTTTCAGCACCAGAGAAGCTTAAAAGCCCTGGTTCTGTCAACGTGAAATCTTGCTGGAGCTGCATGCCTGACACCTTTACTAGGCCTTCCAGAACCAATAAACAATCCAGTGTGGACAGAGTGACTATAGGTAGCAGAACAAACCAAAAGAGAAAGTGAGAGGAGACTTGTAGAATACAGACATAAGAAGCCTATAAAATGTACAGAGTCACTTGTGATAACAAAATAGGCTGTGCTAATCCTGCAAAAAATCATGGTCCACATCATAGTCTAGTAACTACTCATGATTCTCTTTACCTATGAGTATCAAGGAGACAAAATTATACAAATTATTATTAGTTTTACCAACTTTGCAAACAACATGCCCATTTCAGTGCACCAATGCTTAGCAAATGCCTTAAAATATTGTGTACAAAGATTTAATTTCAAAGGGACAATATCGAAAAGCTAGCGGTATCAAAATGGTGAAAGTAACTCCCTTCCTGTAAATTACAAAACATATTTGGCATAACAGACTCAGAATTTATGCTCAGAATATATAATGTCACAACTCCCAATGAAAAGAACTGATTAAATGAACCTACTGTGTTTAAATCCAAACTAATAGAGGCCATATTAACATATTCTTCTGCATATTAAACAACATGTCAGATTCTTATAACTCATACATGATAGCACTATATTTTATTGTAACATTAATAATGACTTGGACAGAAATAACTACTGTAAACCTATCTATCGCTTCTATTTGTTGTTTGTTTGGTTTTTGCTTTTTAAAGCTAAATTTTCCCAGAAACTTATTTGAAGAGAATTTTGTCTTTTAGGAATGAAAAGTATTTTTATCTAATATACAACACTTATGTTCTTAACCTTACATAACAGACTATTCAAACAAACTGCAGAGATTTTAAATATATAAGCAGCATCTTTGACCGAGGTAACTCTTTACACCTATTAAAATACTAGGAGAAGACGAGCTCCTCATATAATTCAACAAGTTACCTTCTAGCTAATTAAAGGGGACACTTTACAGGCATTAGCTAGAAGGCTGGCAATGGTGGTGACACATGACCTCGCACAATATGAAGAATCCTTTGAATTTCCTGAAGCCAATAGTTTCCTTTCTTATAGCCAAGAGTGGTGAAGGATTGCTGACGTTCTCATGAGGTCACTGTCTGTTCACTGGCAAGGAAGCATCTTGTCTTTCATACTAGCAGCTGGCTAGAGAGTTGCATTCTCTCATTACCAGGTGTCTAAAGGTTTTCAAACCCTGTTGAAGGCTGGTCGGGATAAAAACTCAAGATAAAACTAAGTGATCAAAACAGATTTAGCTTTTATAGCAAAGATGCATTTAGGAATAAAATGGTAAAACAATTTTGAAGGGAGTGTTTGGGGGATTCCTGAGGTTTTCAGGAATTATTGCGAATTTTAAATTTAACAAGAAAAAAATAAAAAATGTTCTGACCTCTAAAATGTGTTACTGTGATCAGATGTGGAATGTAAGTTCACGACATACAGGAAGTGACAGTATATTCCCTGTGAGACGTAAGTATCAGGTCTATTATGTACAACAGAATCATCAATTGTCAATATTTTTGTTGAATTAATATAACAACTGTCATAACAGTAATAAAGATTTTAAATCACATCCATAAATGATAAGACAGAGAAAATAAGTCTTTTTGAACAGTCACAAATTCTCAAAAAAAAAAAAAAAGCTGAAAGCAAAGCTTAGTATTAAATTATTTATAGCTTCTTAACTAGATTCTTGAATTATATATCTTCTTGAAACAGTGAAAATTTTGCATGTTTAAATAGTGCTTATCTACTGATTTCCAGTCCTACTGATGCTCTTTGCCGTGTAGTCAGAAAACTTACTGTATTTTAAAAAATATCACCATCTATATTCTTTTACTCCCTGTGTTTTAAGGCAACTCTGTTCTAGCTTGAACAGTTGAACTCTGTTAAAATCCACCACTGACACAAAATGCTAGGTTCTCAAGCACAGGTACACACGCACACAGGGGCACGCTGCATACTCATGCACGGTTCAGAACTTGGAAATATATGTCAAGAAAATTATCCATGCCAAAGGTGGGCGATAAGCGGCCTGAGGGCTGGGTGTGGTTCACCAGGTTTATCCCGACAGTTGCCTTATTTACTTGCATGTCCGCCAATACAGCTGCTCACAGCTCCTGTTGGCCACGGTTCACTGATTCTGGCCAATGTGAACTGCATGAAGCAGCATGGCCAATAAACCAATGGTATTTTGCTAATTTTTGTCATATTGGGCCCAAGCCTGCAAACCTTTGTTCATACATTTAATTCCATTGTATTCAAAGAGGTTATTCAAGACACACCATTCAGTAATGAATATCTGCAGAATCAAGACACAAATTTCTATCATAATGAACATACTGCCTTTTTTAAAAGAAGCAAGCATCATCAAAACTCTTCCAATAGCTTTAATATTATTACAAGTGCAATAAATTTTAAATAAGTGAAACATATAGCCATTTTTCAAGTTGAAAAAATAATTTAGATTCAACCACAGTTGCACCTGTATTTTACATAAAAAATGAATGATATATGATTTATGATACATTGCTTTTAAAAATGTCATCAGCTAAACTGTTCCTCTTTATGATTTTTTGTCTGGAAACTCTTATTTCTTCTATTTGTTCTACTATGATCTATTCTCTAATCTAAATTCTAGGGGCAACTTTCAAGAAAAAAATTAATGCATAAATCTCAATCTGATGCTGATCCAAGAAGAGTAAGGTTATGCATACTAAGTAATGGTTGCATTTCCATCTTACTTCTTTATTGACACCACAAAAGTGAATCATTATTGGTTGATTACAGAGAGATGCTTTTAGAAATGCCCTGAATTTTAAATAGTAAGTGCCCTCTTAAAACTTCCTGATGCTGTCAGCATTCATTAAATAATTATAGTGTGTTCAGATGTAATGCTTTCAGGCTATATTCACGTTCACGGTGTGCATTTTTAATACAATTGCGCTTAGTTAAAAATATAGATATGTAAGACAAACTTGTAAATAAATTTTATTAATTACTAACTAAACTAACTATGGGTCTACGAACTTAATGCTTCAGAATATATACTGTTCTAGTTTTGTATCATTTTAAATATACAAATACAGACACACCTTTTGATAGATACATCCACTAAATTTCTACAAATAATTTAACATACAGAAACAATAACAATATTTTGTCTGCATTTTACTGTTTGTCTATATATTTTGTCATATATAAAACACACACACACACACACACACACACACACAGAATTCAAGCGTAATTACTTGCATCTGTTTTCTCAATATTAAGTTTTTCATCTGTAATAATCAGAGCTATTTTACTTACTCAAGCATTAATCATTGTCATTTTGGGAGCTGAATGGGTACAAAATCATTAATGGACAGCATGTTGTTGAAAGTTGAAAGCAAGTGACAAGATGATAGCTGGGGAGACACTTAGGAGTAAGAGAAGGTTTTCATCATTCTTAGGGATACAAACACCATTATAGACAATGATGAAGAGTAAAGGACAGAGAGTAAGAGAATGATATCCAGGGGAGTAGCTAGAAGGATGAAAAGAAGTATCACAGTGAGAGACTAGGGTAAAGGAATAATGTGCAGTTTGAGGAAGAGAGTTATTTCATAACATTATCGCTTCTAATATTTTTAAATGATATAATACAGTATGTAGAAGAAAGAGGTAAGGGAAGAAGTTTTAAGAATGAAGTCAAGTGTTTCATTTACACAACATTTTTAGCCTGTTAAAATCTTGTAATCGCAAAAAAAAATTAGTTTTGGTTAAACATGCCTGATTAAATTCATCATATGATTACTGTCAATTTTTAAAGGACTTTTTTCCTCCTATTATAAGCCACGCAAAAATTATAAATCAAAACTTTACAATTTACAGAACATACAAGAGAATTACAGGAGGGTTTGATTGCTTTTTCATCACCAGGAATTTAAAAACTATAATATGCAAGAACTTGTGAGAAAAATACATTTAAGTTTACATTAAGAGGCACTTACAATGAGCTCTGAATCACGTCCCATGGAAATGACTGTTCTGTTTACTGTCCTCAGTAGCTTTTCCATGATTATCTGGACATGTCGCTGTGTTGGTCCCTGAAGAGAAGAAGATAATCTAATGGAAATTATCACCAAAAGACAATCAATACAAGTCAAATATTGATGCTTGCTGTTAAATCCATCTTTCCTTTTGAAACCAAATCAATTATAACTCCTCTCAATTACTGCTCAACAAGATGAAAAACGAAGACTGCACACAAAAAAATATACTTTTAATGTATTCCCTACTGCTGAAAGTCAATTACATAATTAGAGCAATTTAAATAAAATGCAAATCCTTGTAGAAAAAATACAATGTTTGTGTCATTTGTTTAGTTCACAATTTGGTGTTCCAAAGACATTTTTTCACCATTTAAAATCAAATGCCTCTGACTAAGGTAATCATGCCATATTTAATAACAGTGTATCAGATATCTTAAACAACTTAACTAAGGACTTTCAAATTGATTCCCAATTGTTCCAAATATATTCTAGTTTTAGAGCTCATCGGCTAAAAAATTTTAAAAGAATTAAAAAGTGTTGTGTTGACTATGAACGTCTTTGTGAACAAATTAAGGAGACATGTCCCAACCTTTTAAGAGGAGGGAGTCCCACAAAGGCTGGGGGTAGGGAAGAATCATACTAAGATAGAGGACTTTCTTCCCCTACTCCCCCAGTGTAAAAGTGCTCCTTAAATGTTACTTGCCTTCCCCTTGCCCTAATGCAAGCTTCTTTAGTGACCACTCTACAATTGTCAACATTTGAAATGTTGTGCCAGACCATTCTCTAAATAAGATGTGTTTTGAAGGCACTTGCTGGACAGCTGTGCAAACCTTCTATCGATTTTATTTTTAAATGAGTGGGGGAAATAATCTAATGCTCACCAGATAGCATTTAATCTCTAGACCAGAAGCTCCCACTGCATATGTGAAAAAGTATCCCTCATCTCCAATACATGTATGTGTAGCTACTGTTCTTCAGCACCCAAGCTCCTTAATGGTGACAAGTTAAGACTTTTCTTCTCTGTGTCCCAGCTCACTTTCGGGGATTGCTTCCTTTCCCCACAGCTCCTCCACTCCCTCTTCTGCCTGCATACCTGTTTCAACCATCTGCCAACTCAGCAGCCCTCTGTCATCCAACTGTTATTTGTCTCAGAAACAGACGCCAGTTCCTAATTTTGCCTCTGCCCCTCATATAGACCCTCTCAACTGCATTCAGCTCAGCAGGTGGTGGGACTGAAAGACCAGGGCTGTGTCTACATTGGCACCCCTTTCCGGAAAAGGGATGCTAATGAGACACTTTGGAATTGCAAATCCGCGGGGGATTTAAACATCCCCCGCGGCATTTGCATTTACATGGCTGCCGCTTTTTTCTGGCTTAATAAGGGATCCTCCGGAAAAGGGCTTATTTTCCGGAAAATCGCGTCTAGACTGGCGCTTTTCTCCGGCAAAAACCCCGAGCCGGAAAAAAGCGGCAGCCATGTAAATGCAAATGTCGCGGGGGATGTTTAAATCCCCTGTGGATTTGCAATTCCGAAGTGTCTCATTAGCATCCCTTTTCCGGAAAGGGGTGCCAATGTAGACACAGCCCATAAGTATAGATTGATAAGAGAGGTAGACAGCAAAAAATGGGGAGGGCCTGGTGTGCTGTAAGGACATAAACTCTTTTTTAAAAAATATAATATGCTTCCTGATGCCACAGAATCTGGAACCACTGGGAGAAAGCAGTTAACAAGGACAGTTTTCAAAGAGTTGCAACTGCCCTGGCCAAAGTATAGGTATTCACATACAAGGAAGCAGAAACCCACTGGTCCAGAAATCTTTATTATTGGTAAATAGCCAGAATGGGTTACAGCTCTCATCAAAGGAGAGCTATTTGTATAGTCACTGTCCAGTCAATAAAAAATTAGGATCATGTAAATGACATATATGCAATTGAGCACAAGGCACTGCATAACTGAGAAAAAAGGTTACACAGTTTTGCATCTATAAGCATACATCATCTTCACACTCTGAATGTACAGAGCTGTTTGCCTTCCCAATAATACTCAGACAGAAGAAAGTACTTTCAAGTTATTTAGTTGTATCTTGAGATAAATGGCTAGAGGGGGATTGCCTTGTTGTACTGAGCTGTCTGAAGAGTAGCCTACTTCCTGCAGATTGTATTTAAATGTCATAGAACACATAGGGATATTTCTGTACATTTTAAATTATTGATAAACTGTTCGTTCATGCCATCAAAGCAGCAGTTTGGATTTTCCTCATAACTTGAACAAGTCCTGTCGCTAAGAAACTAATTTAAGGCTACTCTTTTACAGTGAAAGACTATTTTTCCTGTAGCGTAATTTTCTTCTACAAACTTCAAAACAGTATACTCAGTGTTTATCCTCTTTAGTTGATGAAATCACCAAAGGATTAAAAGCTGGCCCAGCAAACCTGCAGCGCCAATGCCATGAAAAGGTTGAAGAGTTCAAATTTCAAGCTCATTCAATACTCAACTCCCGTATTTTACCAATACCTGGAGTGGTGTTATTGGAAGAGATCCAGAGGGAACCATAGTCTATTTCCTCTTGGACACATTAAAGATTGTTACAAGAGAGACACCCTGGGGTCAGATAATTACATGGTAAAAAAGTAAACTTCAGGCATTACCTCCTCACCTCTGATCACCACAAAAGAGAAATGGAAGAAGGGGGGGGAGGAACCTCAGGGAAAAAAATGACAAAGTTAAGTCACTGCCAGCTTTACTTCAAGATTACTCCTATCATTCACAAGACATAGTATTCTTACAGGCTAATTGGTATGAGCATCGGTTACTAACCACATCTTTCCTGTAAAGGACTTCCAGGATGTTACTAAGCAGCTGGCAGCAAGCCTCCAAGTCTTCCTGCCTTTCCAAATGATATTTCAACTGATCTGTCATCATTGGCAGCAAGATCTCCCTGCAGTCTGCATAGAAAGATACAGTATTACAAGAATGTCTTACATAATTTCATTATACACACATATCATATTGCAAACAGATCTAATATTTTAAGCAAAACTTTCAGGGGAAAAAAGTTAACTTTTTGGAAGACAGAACGTCAGAGCAAGCTATGGGTAAAAGTTTAAAAGCCAAAAAAACAGTCAGAAGCAAATGCAAAAAGTGGCCTATTTATAATGAGATGCAAAGTTCTACTACATAGCAAAAAAGTCTCTGGAGCAGTGAGCTTCAGAGCATTGATCAACTGAGTCAGTTGGCTCAGGCTTTGAGACTTGCTGCCGCATGTCTTTTACTGCAGAGGAGACATTCCTTTGGATAACCCCGTTTGTCTCCAGGCTCTAATTCAGTAAGGCACTAAAGCATACTAACATCTTTAAACACATGAGTGCTCCTAATTATGGTAACTACATGTACTTAAGCTTTATGATCATGCAAATGACACACCCACAATTGAGCATAAAGCACTACATAACTGAGAAAAAAGTTATACGGTTTTGCATGTTTAATTATACAGCATCTTTACATTCTGAATGGGTAAGATGGATCAACTTCTCTATAATATTCAAGCGGAAGGAAGCACCATAAAGTTAGCACTGACACAATCCAGTGAGCATGTGCCCTGTAAATTAGGCTGCAAAGAATGGGAGAGAGGGTTTGTTTGTTTGTTTGTTTTTTTCTCATTATGTTATCGCTTTAAGAGAAAAGGAACTGTCCTGTCTTGTCACAGAAGCCTGAATTATGAGTTGGAGCAATGCAGTGATTTTTGTGAGGGATGATAGTGGAGAGAAACAATTCCTTCTTCTCTAAAAGTTGCAAAGCTAAATGTTTCTTGTCAGAGCTGAAAGAGCAACATGATACCTTCAGATATTCAACTGTGGACAAGGAAAAAACAGATAAACAGGATGCCACTTTCCTGAAGAAGAATGCTACTTCCTACTAATTGATTGTCACTTTTTCTGAATTTCTTTCCAGGAATAGTAATGACACTGATCATACAGAATGATATCACCACAACCCAAGGCAACATCAAGTTCTAATGTATCACAACATCACTCAACCATGTAATGACACATGCAAGTAGCCTGGTACTGAAATTCATGGGATTTTTTTCCAAACACTTCCCCCACAATAATTATGGCATTTTCCCACATCCCTCGATGTGTGAAAATCCAGATAGTTCAGTGAAGCATATTACTCTCCTTTAGTTATACACACACTTTCCAATGATCTCTTCCCAAAGTCCTGCATACACCCAAAGTTTACGTAATATTACATCTACTACCCTTCTGTCTAAACAGAGGAAGAGGGGTAGGCAAAAGGGCCTCCATGGGCCGGATCCGGCCCACCAAGCGGGTGGATCTGGCCCATGGAGGCCCTGCTGCTCTCCTGCCCCCAGGCCAGTTAAGGCCTGGGGGCGGGGGAGCATGCGAAACCTTCTCCACTATGCCGAGGCTTCATGCACTCCCCCACCCCCAGGCCAATCAAGGCCTAGGGAGCTGTGTGAAGCTTCCTTCGCCCTGCCCCGACCCTGTGAGGAGCCCGCGGCACTTCAAAGTGCCACATGCTCCTCGCAGGGTTTGAGGGGGAGCGTGCCAAGCCTCTTCCAGGGCATAGGTGCCTAGTGGGAAGGGGGGGCAAAAGGACTACTCCACCCCCAGACCAATCGTGGTCTGGGGGTGGGGCACCCCTTCCCATTTAGCCCGTCCCTTCCAGGGTGTGCCAGGGCTCCTTCAAAAAAAAATTTAAGTGGCCCCCAGGCAAAAATTATTGCCCACTCTTGCAGTGGAGAGATCTCTCTTCTGAGCACATTTGTATCACACCTTAGTCATTCCAAGGGACTACCCATGAACAAAAACATAAGCCTTGCCTGAATGCTTGAACCCAATTCCTCTATGTTACACAAAGGACTAAATTATAAAAAATGATAGGCAGCATATTTTTGGAAATATGAAGACTGAAATGCAGAATTCACATCAAGAAGGGAATGTAATATGCTTATGTTTTATTGCTGGAAAACGATGGCATGGCTAATAATTTAGTCTGAGATAGCATACTCATTATTAGAAAGTACTTTCAATCAGCTTCAGACTTTTTTTGTTTCTAGCAAAGGAATAATATTCATCTTCCCGGAGCTAATAGCAGAGTCCCTTGAATGCAGTATTTCTGTTTATATGATCCTTGGTCATTTAGCCTGTGACATAAGTCTCCCAGGGAGCAGAATCACAGACTGAAAGTTGAAACATCTGCCTCAAGGCACAACTATTAGGCCTGCATTGCATGTACTTGAGGGGTATGTATATCCATGACTCCATCACATCACCACATGTTCATTTTCTATTTAAGACCTCCCTCTAGGCAGCTGACAAAACTAGATTCCAAAAGAAGTTAATGAATGCATATCCACAGATAAATATTGTCATTACAGAGTTCTATGTACCTTACAGGTAAGTATTATCTATAGATTCACAATCTTTAGAAACTAGAAAGATATGTGATGGTCTTTACTTGAAACATTCATCGTCACAGCTAAATTTCTCAACAGCATGAAATATCCACATCCTCTGAGAGACGTAGCTATGCTAACCTAATCCCTGGTACTGAAAGCATTAGGTCAACAAAAGAATTCTGTCAATGTAGCTGCCACTGTTCAGGGCAGTGAAAAGAGAACCTCTCCTGTTGCTGTAGTGAGCATCTACACTGAAGCTCTACAGTGGCACAGTTGCAGCTGTTCTACAGACACATTTTAAATGTAGGCATAGCCTAAAAAGTTAACAGTGTAACTGAGGCCAAAACTTCATTTCAGTCTTTAAATGTACAAATAAAAACTTATGGGTCTATAATAAATTGATAAAATTCTGTGTTACATAACCAAGAAGAAAATGTATACATGTATAACAATAAAATAGCATGTTGACAGAATCTTTTATTATATCTGAAAGTACTTTATGTATCATGAAGTCTGACAACTATCCTGCCTAGAAGGTAATGAATAATAAGTATTTGCATGAAGTTTGACAACTTTATCCTGCCTAGAAGGTAATGAATAATAAGTATTTAACATAATAATCTGCTGTGTGAGTTTTTAAGATACACAATCATAAAACACATTCACTATGGCAATGAAAAAATGGGGATATGGGACACAGAATATCTTGCCATCAGCTAATCAAGGAGAGTATTCGAAATGTTGCTAAGAAACAGTCTTATGAACATTAATAAAAACTTTCATTTGTCACTGGAGCTGTTTTGAGGTAATACTTTGCAGATGTTTGGAATATCTATCACACAGTACAGCCCTTCAAATCTGTTATGGAGGAGGTTAGACATACTGTCATAGCTCTGACTAAGCATGCTTTAATATGTTTAACTCCTAATAAGAAGCAAAACAAATGGCTTCTTGAATACTAGCTGCTGTAAAGTGTTCATAATTCAATAAGATTAAATTATGAGGGACATCATTTACCCCAGACTTAAAATAGGCATTTTTTTTTTAAATAACCAGTTTGTGTTCTACAGCTTTTAATGAAATAGGTAAAAGGGGTATTCTGACATATTGTTGTCAGGCCCTATGGAGATATAACTACTAACTTGCAGAGCTGGTGCTAACTGAGCTGGTGCAGACTGCACAATTGCTTTAGGGCTCCAAGCAACTCAAGGGGGCCCCGTATTCATTATTAGTATGTGCTAGGGGCAATATTCCTGCTTAGAGTCCGGAACAAGGTAACACTGTCTCTGCTAGCTTCTTGTTGTGAAACTTCTCAGTGCATGAATCAGTACCATCACAAAAGCTCTTAATTAGAGATCGCACTGTTTCATGCCCCTTTTAAATCCTACTCCTAGAAAATAGTCACAGATCAATGTTGTATCTGCAAAGCATGTGGAAAGCTAAAAACTGCAGTTACATCAGCTTTGAGTGGGTTGCCAGGAGCTGAGAGTGATCAATAGAGAAGGAAAGCAAGCTGCTTTTGAGAGACAAGGAAAACCACCTAATTGATTTGTCATATTACTTCCATTTGAAATTATAACCGTCTATACAGAGGGCTGACTACTTTCAAGTAGCAATGAGGACTTGACAAAATTTTTCAGTGGAACTTTGCTTTCCTATGAGCCAAGCTGTGAATAAATGAATGGTGTAGTTTGTAAATCTTACAGGTTATAGAACATGAAGATAAATTAAGGAGTCAAGAATGTCTCAGATGTACCACCAATCAATATCTAACATGAAGATAAAACAAGAAGTCAAGGATGTCTCAGATGTACCACCAATCAATATCAGTCACACACAACACATACACACACAAGTTTGCAGAGATGAGGACTCTGCAATTGGGTGTGGCCTCAGTTTATATTTAAAGACTTTAACCGGTAAAAATTATTCATTCCTACACTTGTACTTGTTTGGAACAGTAACATTAGTTGATTATAATTATACTACTTGGAGATTTCCTACCCAGACATGATAGCTTTTGTAGGCAAACAACAAAGTACAATCACAATCATCACCATGAGATCTTTCTGGGACCTGTTGTGTACACTCTACCTAATTATAGGGGGAAATACTACACAGAAATAACCCTTATAGTTTGAAGCTTATCTTCTAGCAGTCAGAAAACTAATACATACTGGTTGAACCTCTCTACTCTGGTACTCTCTGGTTCAGCATAATTTTAGTTAGCTGGATGACCACTTATCATGGGTGTGGCCAAGTTCCCATGGTCCAAGTTTGCTTACAGCCAATAGACCTGGCTCTCAGTGTTCAGTAATGATATTTATTTCTAATTTACCCCTCAATGTTTTCTAAAGAGCCAGTAAGCAGCAGAAGTGTTTGTAATGCTGATAAGACAATATTGATCTCCCCTGCTTTGGCAATTTCTGCTTTAACACCACTCTGGTCCCAAGGGTACGGGACTAGAAGTTCAATCTGTATTATGAAGTAAAAAAATGGAAATTGTGGTCATGATTAAGG